ACGAGTTAGAATGCGTGATTCAGATTGTGGGGAAGGAGGGAGTGCCCGTCTAGGAATGATGCCGAACTAGGAGTAATGAGGGTTTTCTACGCGCTACTTGGAACGAGACAAGGAGCCTCCTTGCTGATGAATAGAGTGTGGATGTATATGAATGAAGAATGAAGGAATAAAGCTTCGGAAGTGATGCCGGCCTTGCATCGGCCATTCCGCTTCCGGATCGCTGGATGACAGAGGAGGGTCTGGTTTAGCAGGTAGGCGTCCGGCGTAGACTCGGCGACAAGAGGGCATTTTAAAGTACCTCGGGAACTATCGCCGGGAGCACGAAGAACGAATCCTGCACTAAGGTTAGTCAGGCGGCGTCCTGGACTGAGATATCTTTTGAAGATTCCAGACCCCCCCTCTATAAAGACGAAAAAAAAACAATGTAGTACACGTCCAATGTCGTACAACGACTATATGTCAAAACTCCTTCGATGACACAAATTTAGGTAACAAACTGTCACAGGTAATGTACAAAACAATAATAAAAGTGGTGGGGTTAATTTTGCTGTTCAGTTAAATCGTCTGTATTGATGAAAAACATGGCTAGTTGTTAACACGTTCGCGACGACGTGTACCACCGGTGGTACATGCCTAACTTTTCATTCAGCGGCTTGTGGCCACCGGTGGTACACGGTACCTTTTTATTTCTTAACTCTCTAAAACCTTGCAGTTAATAGATATGTTATTTACATAAGTATAGTTTTAAATATATGGTTTTGCCGCCGTTTTGGCATATCATAATTTATATGGCCACAAATAAAGGCAAAAACTGCAGTAAAAATGGTTTATTAAAATTAAAACATCGTAGTATAACATAGATATTGTACAAAACTTAAGAGATAATTTAAACATATACAAAACTAGGTCGGTTTGTGAATTTCATTAAAGCAAGGAAGGCGCATAGTTGGTCTATCCTCACATACATATACCTTCATATTTTTGTAACCTATTCTTTACCAAAGATAATTATGGTTTTTTTCACTGGAATAATATCTGGTTCACGAGGACTTTCTGTAACTTTACTTTGTAATAGTCCTTCAATAATTTTTTCGCGAATAGATAATATAATGCATGTTTTAGGATTATTGCTATAATTATTGAAAAGAACCCACCTATTTACTATGCATGTGCCCAGACAAATTTCGAAAAACACTTTTTTATACCACTTAATGCTTTTTCTTAACGGGGTATAATATAAAGACATTTGATGAAACAAGTCCACAACTGCCTTTACCTTATTACACGCAATATCCTTGTAGCGTTTTATATTTAATGTTTATGTAATAATATAGATTCTTTTTAAATTTTTGTAGTACGCCCCTGGTTGTTTATCTCAAGTTGTAGCAAGTTTTTCTTATATTTTGGCGGAGAACTTAAATGTATTTTTTAAATGTTTGATATTCGAACTAGAATATTTCAAGTTTTTTGACGAGATAGGGCAAAAATATAGATGTTTTGTTTCTGTTACATTGTCAGGTAGAAAATTATTCCGTTTAAAATAATCAATATAATACGTGTATTTCTACCGATTCAAAAGTAAATATAGATGTTTTTGTCTGTGTTTACATTCAAATCTCCAACTCTCTGTTACATTGTCAGGTAAAAATAAAGATGTTTTATGGTAGTTCGTAGGGACGGGCGAGGGGTAATATTGTTTGTTTAGGTCTTGTAAGCGCAATCAAAAGTCAATTCAATTTTTTTTTGTGTTATGTCTTAAGACCGGTAAGATGATAATATTCTTTGCATAGCAGTTTAGACAGAGTAATCATCGGAAGATTTATACAGTGTACCGGAGACTAATGGAATTTTTAAAGATTATATAGGATGTCCCACCAGTTTTGTTCGTCAGCGTGATTCCTCCACCGAACTCATTTACGTCAGATCTTCGTTCCTGAGTATGGAAATGGTTCCCTGTGTTCCCGTTTGATAATTTGTCCTTGCAGCTCCAATCCCAGGGATTTAGCAAGTTTTGTTTCAAAGTTAAGTTAAAAGTTTGTGAATTAAGGTAACAATTCAATATATTATATTTTCCAAGTTATATAGACATTTTTAATAATTGCTTTCATTAAAATAAAAGAATTTGTAATAATTAAAGTTTTATATTATGTTAGAGTTGTAGCTAAAAAATGTCATATTTTATTGTGTCTTAAAATGTTATGTTGACATATGACATTTTGCTCTAATCCATTGTTGTTGTAAAAGAATTTTCATTTTGGCCATATTATAACCTAGGAACCATTTCAAAATTTTGGTAGTAATATCTTTTGTAAACAAATAAGACGTAAGTTTTTGTTAATTTGTATTATGTATATAGCATGCTTCTTGTGTAATCTGTATTTTTGAAAACTGTTTGTTTGAGATAAAAATAAACGTTTGATTGGTTTGTCTGATCCATTTTGTGTTTTAATTTAGAAGTCTTCAAATCCTTGTATGTATTTTTGATTTTAGGAAAGAAGAATTTTTTCTTTCCTTCAGCAAACTAGGATCCTTCGAAGCGGCGCCCTTATCTTAAATTGCTAAAAGCTTCTTTTTTTGTTGTCTTAATTGCCCAGGAGATTTATGTAAGTATCTCTTTGTTTTTATTTTGTAGATACCCCAATCCGACCAATTTTATTTCAACTTATCCACGACCCAGCTCTCCAACAACCCTCTGAGTGTCGTACGCACAAGTAGCGTTTATTTTGTTTGCCCAAACTTCTACCCCATGTTCTTACCCTGAGGTAAGCAAAATAGTTCGTTACAACCTCAGGTGATTTTAGAATGTTTTCAACTTGTCTGTTTTTTTTTCCTGTTGGTTGGAGGTTTACTGTATGGCTGGGTACTGTAATAATTATTAATACAGGACGTTTGTCCATCCATTTGGCAACTCTTATGCCCTCATCATTTTGTTTTCCATATATTTGACCCTTCAATTTTTTTGACATACAGCTTTGAGATTTTTTTTTGTTAGATCTAGGAGTTCCGTAAATATATGTTTTACACTGACGAAGCTTTTTACATAAATTTACACTAGTATAATAATTATCAATATATCCCTCCTTCATACAAAAGTCCCTCAAGTAATTCAATGCAAATCTTCTAGGAATGTCCAAAATCACTGTCAGGTATATTGGAACCACTTTTCCTGCGTATATGTTTAGGTTACATCTATAACGTTCAACAGTTATTACAAATGCAATAAAATACTACGACACCCACGACTTCACATTGTGTCCACCGATGGTACACGACAATTTTTCTTGAAGTTCACTACAGGCGGCCTGTACCACGGGTGGTACATACAAAAAATAGCTTTTAAATAGAAAAATATGTTGCGAACGTGTTAAACTACCTAACTTTTGTATTATCCAACATAAGCGAATGAATCGAAAAACAAAATGTTGAAAAAACATGAGGCTATAGTTAGGTTTTAATTTGAATATTTTATAAAGGCTAGAATATTCCACAGGGTGATGCAAACTTAAAAAAAAAAAAGTTTAATTCGTACACCTGGTATATAATGAAAATTTACCTGTTTAGCAACCATAATTTTATAACGATATTGTCCAGGAATAAGGCTATAACATATTAAAAAAATCACTTAAATCGGACAACAGGTTTAGGAGATATAAGACATCAAAAATTACCCTTTTTTAAGGTGGCCGGTTAATTTTGGCTCAGAGTGTAGTTCCAGGGGAAAACCTCGGTATTTTTGATGATACTGTGAATAAAATTGAACAAAGTGTGAATCAATATATCAGTCAAAAAGTATTCCAAAAAGCACCCCAAGAAAAAATGGAAGAACCTGATGAATCTAACAGTAATAGTTCATTCTTTTACCTAGAATCATCTTGTATTTAGGTTGCCATCCCATATTGTGTTGTCAGTGATTTTCAGGAAACTACAAAAGATGCTTTAGAACACATCGCTAGGTATTCAGCAAAAAACTTTAACGATAGTTTACCTTATAGGTAATTTCACATATAAAGTTGGTAAACATAGTTATAGTATACCGTCATGGGTACAGCAACTTTCTTATGAAGGTTTCATTAAGCCTACAAATAAGTGGTTCAAAAAATAAAATTATGGAATAAATATTATGAAAAATATAGATTCCTATGGGGGAAAAAAACGGGTGTGGCAGTCCAGAGGGGACTGCCGGTAGAGATTATACTTCTATACACGTATTCACCGTAACAAATTTATATGGGAGCCAATCTGCACAATCATTACATATATAATGCTATAGGTAAGAGAGAGAGAGCAGAAAGAGAAAAAGAATTAGTTATATAGGTATACGGTGCATCGTTTGCTATATATAAACATTTGACCTGTAATAGGAGTATAGTAAATGAAGGATTGTATCAATATTTTAAATAAAATATATTTTTATTTTCATATATGCATAAAAGGATTTGAACGCACAAAATTTTTTTACACATACTCTGCAGTAAAATTCATTGTTTATTTTGTTATTAATATAAAAATTACAATACAATAAATATACTGCAACATAATTCAATATAATAATACAATATAAATTAAAATGCAATATTCAAGTATTTAAAACTGCATGTCACATAAATAATAATATTAATACATATTAAATATATATATATATATATATATATATATATATATATATATATATATATATATATATATATATCTTCTGTCTCTCTCTTACTCAATATCTTACATATGTAATGGTTTCACAAATTCACTCTCATGCAAATTTCCAACGCCGACCGTGCGTATAGAAGTATAACTTCAATAATGGAGTGGTTCGAAACATTTCAATCTAGTTAACAGTTCTTGATAACTCACGCTAGTGTATATTGAGGTACGTAGACGTTAGCGGATGTTCGTTCGTTTTCTAGTAATACATAACTGTTTCTTTCTAGAGTGCCAATTCGGTAGTATTGTAAAGTAGTATATAAAGAGCGCGGGAAATAGTGGGAGAAAATTATTTGCCTTACCTTCATTCTCTTTATCAGCCGTTTCAGTAACAGTTAGTCCTCTAGTGTGTAAACCAGTTAATAAATGCCTCGTTAATTTATCAAGTTCATTAGAAATGTGCTCTCGCTCTCTACTTTCTAGTAAAGTTCTATTGCTTACTAATTCTGTATTAGGTGAACTTTGTGCAACAGCAGAGGTTCTAGATTTTTTACTGATATTGGAGCCATCAAATTGAAGTTTTCTTTTAGCCATCTGTTGTTCGTATTGTTTATAAGCATTATTAAACGGATTATTTGGACTATTACCCCAATTATTTTGTCGAATTTGATTTCTCCATGTTTTCTGTTCAGACATTTTTTGTACAATGTAACTTGGGATACTCGAACTGCCTTGATTGGCAATTGACGGAAAAAGTACTTTTGCTGCAGATGTTGATGGTTTGATTGCAGAGTTTGTTGCGATACTAGAACTTCGTTGATTACCAGTTGACGAAAAAACTACTTTTGAGGTAGATGTTGATGGAGTATTATTATCATCTATTATAATAGTATTTGGTTCAGTTTGTACACTTATTGATGGCGCATTGTCTGTTATATTATTATTAGTCCGTTTTTCTTTGCGTACGTTTTGTCTAGAAATTGAAACATTGGCAATTTTGTCCCCTTCTTTAAAAATTTTTTTTAATTGCGGCGAAGCCCTGAGTTTGTTTTCAATTTCTTTCACAAACCTAAAATGTTGAAATATTTACAATTAATACTCATATATAAAAAAAAATTAAAAACATTAAGTATCACACGTTTCTGACGTGGGTATAAATTACGTGAAATTTTGGAACCAAGATATATTGTGTTTAGAGAATTATTAGAGAGTTTTTAAGAATTAACCCATTAATGTCCACTAGGTAGGATCGAAAAAAACGTTTTTTTCGAATTTGATAATGGCCCGGGTGGCAAAAGTTGCCATTCATAAAAGTAAGTTTTTTGCCAAAATTTTTTTTTAAATCTACCCCTTCAGGTGCCCCAACCCCCTAAAAAAAAGTTTTTTTTTTGTAAAAATTTTTCGATACGGCCAAACGTGTAAACTCTTCTTGAATGTTTAAAAAGTGTGTTTTTATTTATTTTGACTTTCAAATATATTTTGGTTACTTTTCACATTATTTCGTTTTATTCAAGGTAATTAAATTTCTATAGTTAAAAATATTATAATAGTTGCTTTTGTTTCAGATACCAAACAAAGTAAAATGAGCGCAAGAACACCTACCAGGAAAACCACCCTTTGTCCTATCTTTGCAACCCTTGCCGAGATGTCCCAGCTAAGACTTCCCACGAATGCGGATATAATTCGACACTACTTGTTTGTCAGGAATGAGAAAAAAGGCATCATGGCAGCTTCAACCAGCTTCAATAATAGCAACAGAAACTGCAAGCACTCTAGTGAACATCTGGAAGAAGTCATCGGTTCCAACAATTACATTTAAAAAAGTTACTGAGAAAGTAAAAAAATTGAATACTGACTATAGGACTCTACTCAAAGCATATAAGGGCAGGCAGCAATCTGAAAGCTACACAAAGAAGCTTACAGATTTAAAACTTAGCTGGGAGAAAACTCTCTTTGATATTGCTAGTTGTAAATGTAAAGACCTCAACGATTGCCATTGCTCCAAAGAGAAGATTTCAGCACAAGAAAGGGAATTTGTAATAGATCAGCGAACTACCAGAAATCTAGTCATAGGATCAATTGATGTAGCATCATCCAGGAAATTAGCAAAAAGAAACCAAAGAATGATGGAACGATCTCAAGAACATGAAGAACAATTTGAAAAATGCCCAAAATTAAAGTCTAGAGATACTGCATCTGAGCCAGGAGACTCTGAGAATGAGACTAGGACTGATCCTGGAAAGTTGTCTGACTCTGATCCCCAGCCCTGTTGTTCTTCCACATCTGAAAACGTTACAAATTTGCAAATGAGGGTAAATCACACAGCTTTTGCTAGGGAGTGCGATCGTTACGGTGTTTCAGACAGAAGCACTGCATCACTTTCTTCCGCTCTGTTACAAGATTTGGGCATCATTAATGAACAGGACACTTCCAAAATAATAGATCGAAATAAAGTTCGTCGGGAAAGGGAAAAGCACAGGAAAGAATTGCAAAATGAGAACATGGAGGTAGTAGAAGCATTATATTTTGATGGACGGAAGGATAAATCCCTGACACAAACTAAGAAGGGCGATAAGTATTACTATAGTATCTTCACAGAGGAACATATATCCTTGGTAAAAGAGCCAGGTTCCATTTACCTCGGCCATTTAGCCGTATCGTCTGGATCAGCTGTCGTCATCAAAGATGGAATATTGGATTTCTTTAATAGAAAAGAAGTATCGACTGAATCGTTAATAGCAGTTGGATGTGATGGTACCAATGTCAACACAGGGACAAACGCAGGAATATGAAGACTACTAGAAATTGCCCTAAATCGCCCTCTTCAGTGGTTTATTTGCATGTTACATCTAAACGAACTTCCGTTACGCCACCTTTTAATCCAACTTGATGGTGTTACTCAAGGTCCGAAAGCTTTTTCTGGTGCCATTGGAAAATCAATACAAGCTTGTGAAACCCTCCCTTTAGTCAGATTCTCGAAAATTGTGAGTAACACTATTCCTGATTTAGATAGAAAGATTTTGAGTACTGATCAGCAATATTTGTATGATATGTTGCATGCAGTATCATCTGGAGAATGCAACGAAGACCTTGCGAGGATTAAACCAGGACCAGTCGTACATTCAAGATGGGTGACAACGGCGAGTAGAATCCATCGGTTATATGTCGCATCGGAGCATCCCTAAGAAAATCTGGTACACTTAGCTAAATTTATCATGAAAGTATATGGTCCATTATGGTTCAGTATCAAATGTAAGCCATTGTGTACTGAAGGTCCACGACATTCGTGGAGATTGATTGCATATTCAAGATATATGCCGACTGATTTAAGGAAGATAGTAGATGGGGTAATACAAAGGAATGGCTATTTTGGCCACTGAGAGAACCTGCTTCTAGCGATGTTGGCAGATACCAGAGAGCACATCCGCAAGTTAGCCTTACGCAGAATAATTGCTTCTAGAAAAGAGAACAAAAATTCAACATCTGTCAGACAATTTCGCGTACCTCCTTTAAACATGCCGGCAGAGAATTATACAGATATAATTTACTGGTATGAAACAGATAGGTCAGAACCACCAATAATAAAGCACGTCTCCGACAAGGACCTGGAAAGTTTTGTATCTGGTCAAGAAACTGCAGCACCCTTTCTAGATTTGTCCAAGTTCCCCTGCCACACTCAGGCCACTGAAAGATGTGTACATTTAGTTACAGAGGCATCATCTAAAGTTTGTGGAGAGGAAAAACGAGATGGTTTCATAAAATCTCGAATCGAGTCCAGGAAGCTAATGAAATCATTTAATTCTAAGTCAGAATTTAAGTTTAAATAACCTTTTGTTCCTTTTAATAATAATATACGTTATAAGTTAAATATTTGTTAATAATAACATATTTTTTGTAAATCGGTACACGTTCCTTTTAAGGTAAATACGTTTTGGCAGCGTAAGTGTTTTGTTGAATTGTTAGTTTTATTTTTCTTACCTACATTATTGGTCCTACACTCACTTTTAATATTTAATATTACCTTATAGAAATGTAACGAGTCGTATTACCGTCAATAAATGTATTATTTCGTTAATTTGTTTAGATTTCAGCTAAAATTGTATTATCTACATGAAATAGGATTTTTTTATTTTCCGTTAGGTCTTTGGGGCACCTCCAAAAATGTTCCGAGAGCCTCCAAATTTTGAACACAAATTTTTTAAACATTCAAGAAGAGTTTACATATAATATAATATAATATTTTGTACATTTTTTAAATTTCTTTTTGAAAAAAAAAGGTGTACCCAAGCAGGTACACTGGGACAATCAGTATAAAATATATAAAATATAATTATATATAACCAGTAGAAATAATGAACATAAAAATGCATACAGACCAAGGAAATATTTATTAAAAATACATAAATATACATAAAAAACACATAATTAATTATGAGTGAAATATTTTAAAACACTCTCTCTCTGTTCAGTGCAAAGAGTTACAATGCATTTTTAACACATCCATCATACTCTCATATGGCATTGCCGACATCTTCGAGGGTTCGTGGTTCTTTTAGAAAAATGGCAATCAGGAGTATCCAGTATACTCTTTGGCAGCGAAACCAGATGGTTTGATAGATGTGGTGTCTTTTTATGGTTTTGTTGAGCGCTCTGCAGTAATGGCGGATAATATTTCTTTGAAATAGTAGCACATCTATTTTTCATTTTAATTTGTAATCCTATATAGTTTCCACGCATTGACAACTGTCACATTTATCATATGGGTAAAGAGTACCCACCACCATTTTTTTTTCATGTATGCCGATTCTGTAATTATTTACCCCTTCATCGAGTCCACACCCCTACTTGATAAATTATAGGATTGGAATAACTGAGATTGTGACACTACTACTTTTTCTTTTAGTTTTGCATACCAACGCTTCACTTGTGCAAGGGGCTCTATGGTATCGTAATTGGTCCCATGATTACAGCACTGTTGTCGTTCCATCTTACAAATAATATAGCACTTTCTTCATCGTAGCAATGATCATAATATCCACGATCTTTTCTCTCCATCTCTTTGCTTTGTATAAAAGGACATTTTTTGATACGATTATCACGAACTGTGCCCGTAGCTCGGATACTTTTTTGTTTCCACATCACTAAAAGTTTATAACTCGCAAAATAGTTATCGAAAAATATTATGTGATCAGTTGGAACTGTAATAATACTTGGGAGGTCTAAAACAACTTGTGATCCTAGTGGCCGTTTACGTACGGGGTTTGATTTGATGAATTGCTTTGCCGAATGGTGGCCAAAGTATTTTGACCATTGCCTCATCCATGGATAAATTTTCATGAAAAATGCCCCATTGTTGAAACTTAGCATTCAGTAAATCCATAAGCAGTCGTAGTTTACACATTTTAATTTTGTTTAGTTTAGTTTTGTCTGCCAAATATATATACTTTTTTAATTTCTGTAAAACTATTTCTGCTGATTGCGTTGGAAATAAATGGAACATTCAGATCTTCATCCAAATTCCAATACATCCTTTCACGGGGTAATTTATGGTACCCAGTAAAAAGAAGAATTCCAACAAAAATTTTGATCTCATCTTTTGTAATTATAAAATGATGATTATTCAAGGCTGTTGCGTACAGATTAGTTTGCTCTACAATATGATTTACAACTTCATCGTCAAATAACTTTTCAAAAACTTGTAACATAGTTAGTTCTGCAAGCTCAGCTTTTACCTTTTCCATTGGTTTATAGCTTTCATTGGTGGTATCCACTGTTTTACGACACCATTTGGGATCTCCGGGCTTCTTCAGCAAGTTCATTTTTTCAAGTTTGTTAGCTGTCAGTTCCCTCTTTGATAATTTTATTCGTTCAGACAATGGAATGTCACCATCAGTTCCATCCGAGTCATCTCTATTATCAAAACTATTATAGTCATCCTCATCTTCGGACTCGGCAATAATAACTTCAAGTTCTCCAAGAACATCGTTAGGAATTTGGGATGTTATCAAATAATCTTTATCAAACTCCTCCTCATTCGTTTGGTAGTCAACATTTGGTGAAATGATTACC